GGACAAAGTCACCATTCTCCTGGACAGCACTCGGATCAGCCATGGGGAAGTCATTAAACTCTGAATCAGCTTGACTCCAATCATCGGCCGTTTTTACCTCACCCTGGGCCTTCTCAAGTCTCTTTTCCTCGGCAACTCTTCTCCTCTTCTGTCTCTCTGTGGCAGCCTCCTGTCTCTTGACTCCGGAATATCTTGGCTAGAAATCATGAGAGCCCCTATACTGCCAGTCTTCTCTCTCTGTGCTTTGACAAATGCCAGTTCGATCACAGGAATCTTCAGTTCACGCTTGCAAATACAGGAGATGTGGGCCTCGGATTTACAGTCACGATCGCATCCAAACTCAGGACAGAGAACAATTGGACACTTGCAAGTAATTATGTCAAATAACTGGTCCAGTTGCTTGGCAAAGCTGTCCTTAACTGCAAGTTTTCCTCTCCCAAGAGAGATATCTCTTGCCTTTTCCCAACTGGCTAGCAGTCTCTCACTAATCTTCTTCTGACTTGTTATGACTGGAGGCTTGAACTGAGCGTTAGCCAGAGTGTACTGTGCCAAGACAGCTTTGGTCATATCACTGGCAATGTCTTTGTTTGTGTAAGTTCTTTGGTTCTTTTCACTGATTTGCCTGATTAAAACACCGTATCTCAAAGCATCTCTCAATGTAGGCAACTCCGACTTCAGGAGCTCTCTCCCAGACCCAAGATAGTGACTGAGATGGCTGGATTTTTGGTTCCTCGTCCTGACACAAGCAGCCATCGCAAATATTATCAACTTATAAATGCATCAGAATCTGAAACAGAAAAAAATATTGTTAGTTGGGTTGTTAAAGAATGAAGTCAGAAAGCAATGTTCACTATTTAATTGTAATGCACTAATGCAGCTGTACGTTAGATTTTCGATAAATTTCACGCTAAAATTTACCTAGCAAAAGGTTGCAAAATATTGAAACTGAAATTATTTTCTGTTTATATACACTAAAATCTACCAAAAAAGTGATGGGCCATTAGTTTTAGCTGATCTTCCCTCCTATGACACACCCTAGTGCAGTAAGAGAGCAGATCACCAGTAGATCTCACCTGACGAAAGCCAAACTGGTGATCTGACAAAAGAGAAAAGTGTTCAAGTTGACGGAGAAAATGAGAGTTCAAGATAGTTTCGAAAATCTTAAGAGAGGGATGAAGTTAGGGCAATGGGGCGATAGTTAGAAGGATTGGAATGGTCACCCTTCTTCGGGATGGGCTGAACCAAGGCATGCTTCCAAAAAGAAGGAAAAGTTTTGGTTTTGAGGCAAAGGCGAAAGAGGCGAGCAGGCACAGGGGTCAGAACTTCAGCACACTCCCTCAGAACACGAGGGGGTATTCCGTTCAGTCGATGCGCCTTACTCACATCCAACCTGGATAACACACCGGCAATCCTGCGAGTGGAGATTATAGGCAAGTGCACAGGTTCAGTAGGAGGAGCAGGAGGGATAGAGTTGGAATCGTCTAAAGTGGAGTTAGGGGAGAATAAGGTGCCAAAGAGAATGGCTTTATGAGGGGAGAGTTGGCTATAGAGTTATCAGGTCGGAAGAGAGGAGGAAAAGAGGGAGTGCGGAAGTTATTACAGATGTTTTTGGTTAAGGACCAGAAGGATTTACTGGAAGAAGAGTTAGTCAGGACCGCTTGGCCCTACGAAGAATAGCCTTACAACGATTCCTAGAAGTAATGAAAGAGGAGTGGGTAATAGGAAATAGTTTCATAACTTGATATGCCCTATCTCTCTCCCTACACGCAAGGGTGTTTAATTATTTGTTCCAGATCATTAAGTAAGGAAACAGAGTGTCTTAGCTCTACCTGGGTCATCCCTTGCAGAGCCTAGCCATTCTCTGTGATGTATAGTCGGGGTCAAAAGTCTTGAACACTTAGCAATATCTGGCATCTACTTCCGAGTTATACATACATGATTGGGATATACTAATAACACTACTTGTCATCACATATTATGCCTGAGCCACAAAATGGGATAAAACTCTCCATAATACCTAAGATCTTCGGGTACTTACATGACAAATACTGTCAAGTGTTCAAGACTTTTTGACCCCGACTGTACATTGAAATCCCCTAGGTAGAGGATCTCGGTGTTAGGGTGTGTGGATAGCAACGACTCATGGCAAGAAGTGAGATTGTCAAAGAGTTCCAAATAGTTGGTAGAATTGGGAGAACAGTATAGGAAACAAAGGTAAATAGTCATAGTTGGCAGAGATATTTTGAGCCAGATCACAATATAAAGGGAAGATTCAAGATCCGGGAGTCGAGCTATAGGTGTACAGATGGGCGAGGGGCGACCTAATCGAAGTGTATAAACATCTCAGGGGCACTACTCGTTCGAATGTATTATCGAGGACAAAAGTTCGCTCCCTGTGGTGAAACTGAGCCACGGGAATGAGTCTCCGAACTGACTTACCCTGACTGTTATCTGGTGCGGGTGTGCGGTTTCATCTCATTTGGGGTCGATACTGCTTCAGTTTACGAGGGAGCAAACTTTTGTCCACGATAGTACATACCTGGAGCTGGATTCGATTAGATTGCCCACAAGGGGGCTAGTTTATTGGGCACCCCCTTACATCCTGTGTAAGGTGAAGCGCAGAAGCGTTTACAGCGCCCAACAGGGAAGCATGCTAAGTTCATGCTTGCCTTTATGTCTCATGAGTTAAGGGTGTAGAAGCAGAAGAATCAAGGGCGTAGAAGCCTGAAGAGTCAATGGTGTATGTCATCAAGTTATTGGAAGCTCCAACAACTCGCTGAATACGAATTCGCAACTTTTGACGTCCCCCCCACAAGGGGTCACAGCTCAAGGTGAACTCTTTGAACAATCTGCTGGATAGAGTTTTGACGGCACCGAGTGTGAGCTCATTCAAGGTCAGACTTGACCAACACTGGAGCAGGTTCCGATATATTCAGGAGTCAATGCAAGCCCAGTATCTGCCAACAGTGTGCATCAGAGGCGTGACCAAGCCGCTAACGAGCCGATCAGTGGCGAAGAGGATAAAAGTTAAAAAGTATGTAGTCAAACAGACTCACACTGGAAAACACCTTTCTCATGTGTGTTCGGGCCAAAGGGATTCGAAACCTTGACATATTGGTGTGAGATACGCGCTTTAACCTGTATGCATCCAAGCTTATGTAGTTTTTGAGAGCATAAAAGTTTAAGGTGTCCTATGATCTATCTGAGTTCTCGAATTAGTATAAGACTGAACTGACTCCCAAAGGGTGACACTTTGCAGTGGATACCTCCCCTACAAACGCTGTTTGTCGCTGAGTAGCCGACCCCGCAAATTCCCCAGTGTATGCCTCGTGGTCTAGGTCAACCAGCGCCGCCTTAAATAACGGAGGTCAACTATTAAGCCACGCCTACCTCCGCTATATAAGACCTGACCTCGTGGTGACCACTCTTCTTCTAGCTACAGCCGCAGCAAGCTACACCACCTCCGCCGCTGCCTGGCGGCCCTGCTCCCGCCGATGGCGACCCACAAGCTGTCCTCCTCTGAGCACCCTCACCAACCAGCTCTCTCTACATCACATAAGAACATAAGAACATAAGAAAATAAGGAGTCTGCAATAGGCCGGTTGGCCTGTGCATGGCAGCTCCTGTCGAGAGTTACTACCACTCTCTATCATCCATGAATCTATCTAGCCTCCTTTTGAAACTTTCCAGAGTTCCCGCACTTATTACAAAGTTGCTAAGCTTGTTCCACTCGTCCACCACCCTATTTGTGAACCAGTTTCCTCCTATCTCCCTCCTAAACCTAAACTCGGATATTATAAGAACTTTATCTATATCACCTTTATTGATTCCTTTCACCCACTTAAATACTTCTATCATATCTCCCCGCATTCTTCGTCTTTCTAGGGAATGCAAGTTAAGTTTCTTTAACCTATCCTGATATGGAAGGTTTATAAGTCCCGGAATCATTTTTGTCATTCTTCGCTGTACCGACTCTAGTGAATTTATATCCATTCTATAATAGGGGCACCAGAACTGAACCGCATAATCGAGGTGCGGCCTAACTAGCGCAAGATATAGTTGCAATAAGACCTCTGCACTCTTGTTACTTACACTTCTAGATATAAAACCCAATACTCTGTTTGCCTATTTCGAACATTAACGCATTGTTTTCTAGGCCGTAGGTCCGGGCTTACAAGTACCCCTAGGTCTCTTTCACAAGTCGACTTCTCTAGGTTGATGTTGTTAAGGCTGTATACATTATAAGTATTTGTTCTTCCAATATTAAGTACGCTGCACTTGCTGGTGTTGAATTTCATTTGCCATTTTTCAGACCACCACATCCCAGCACCAAGCTGCACTGTACATCCAATACAACATGTATACAGAGCACATTGTGAGTTTCCTTTCTCCATCCCATCCTGAGTGTGAACCAAACATCCCGTACCCCACAACTTCACTCACAGTCACACAATCTGCCTAGTCAGCACCCCTTGCCTCCTACACATCTCGGTCCGTTCCGAGTACTAACAGGAGTAACAGCCATGTGTGAAGAGAGAATGTGAAACGTCATATGGGACTCAAGTTAGTCAACCCATTTTAAGAAAATACTTAAAATAGGACTGTCTCTTCATCATAATATTTTTTATAATCATTTAAAATTATTTTATACGTATTATATTACATTTTTAATTACCAATACATTTGAATAAAAAGTTAAATTTCTCGCGATTCACGACAAAATAATGAAGGATGGTGTTGGCACTTGTGGTTCCACGGGCGGTTTATTCCTCGTTCCTCTGTTCCATGTGCCGGCACGTCACTAACCCACGATGGCAACGGATAACTTTTATATTTATCATAATTTTCTCAAAAAAATACGCCAACTCTCATTAAGAAAATAGTAAATATTATTTTATCATTATTTAATTCGACTGAAACGATATTTAATATAGTTTTATAATCATCTATGTGTTATAAATCCAGAGAAATTAGTGGATTAATGACAAGTTGGGTTGTTGTGTTGGTCGGTCAGTGTGGCAGACAGAGGGTCGAGTCAGTGTTGGCTGAGAGTAACTCTTACTTGTACCATCAAGAGTAATCATGTTTGGAGGCTTAAAGAAGCTGTTATTTCTTATGCTGCTGGTTTTACCGGTCATCATCTCTATAACAGATGAAGGTAAGAGCAACTGATGTCATATTTTCTATTTAAACTTCATTTATTCACTTGGAAGATGACAGCCAGATACCCTTATCTTCTGTTTCTATAGTGGGAGATTGTGTTAGCTTCACTAAAACATCCACATTGAGTAGATTATTTATTATATGTGTAGTTGGTTGGTTATGTGGGATATCTCAGAAATCTGGGTTAATTTTTTTTCATGTAAACTAAATTTATATCCTGTATTGCAACAAACATACGGGTGATGAACCCTTTCAAAATATATTAAGTGGCGGAATCAAGCTTACAGTTTACATTAAAAAATAGAACAGCATTCATTTTGGTAAATATTCGTCCATTGGCTGTCCTCAGGTTTTGATATGAGAATAGGTTTTAAGGATTTTTTTTTTTACTCAAATTTTACCTTAATTTCTTGAGCAAATTAGCCGTTTAAAAAACAATAATAATAATAATAATTTGTAACAGAAACCACTAATTTGCACGAAAATGGTGGTCAGGTTTGAGTAAAACACCATAAAACACAAAACTAACCTAACCTAACCATATTTTGGAGCTTACCTGCTACTGTTGTAGGTGTTTCTATTGTAGCTCACACAACATTCCTCCCCCTAATCTTTTAATCATATTCGAAAAAATGTCTAATTTTAAGATAATTTTCTTCTATTACATTACCGTCGGAAACGTATAATAACAGTGATAGCAGATGCCAAATCTTTCTCTGTTAAATATCTTTTATCTTCAGCCATTATCGCCGACCCAATTTCCAACTCAGAGTGTTCCCTTCATAAATTGTTATGTGCATGCGTTCCCATACACGTCACGCGGCGATTCAAAAGCTCTTTTTTTTTCCACCAATTAAAATGAATTGTGGTTTCTACTTTTAGAATTTGCGATATTTTTTGCCCAGTCAGATTCGATTGTGATTTTGGGTCTATCATGCTTTGAAATTCAAATTCATTTCCAACCATGGAAGTCTGATGGGTGGCACTTCAATTATATGGAATTGAGTGTTTTGGGGAAAAGAAAAAGAACACGCTATAGCATATTTTAGATCGAATGGTGTTCTTCCTACCTCAGTAAAGATTCTAATTCGGAATAAGGTAAGAAATAACAGTGATTCCCTCATAAGATGAGTCTGGTTACATAAAAACACTGTGAGAGTTCGATTTGCTTAGGATTGATCAGGTTAGGTCATCCCAAAAAGGTTAGGTTTATATGTTTTTCTTGTGTTTTTTGGTGTATCTTGTATTCACTTGGCCATGATTTTTTGTCGGGAAACGTCACACCCAAAACCCCGGTTCCCAACAGGATCCCCTATCATGTTGAGGATACAGCTGAATTATCTGGTATGCTTATGGTTACAGACAAAAGAATTCCAGTGTTTTCTTAAAAGTAAACAATTTCCACACTTAGGACACAGTCTTGATGTTGGTAGGGCACAGTGATCTTGTAACATTTGGATTGCTTCACTGTTGTTTTCATAAACTCGCTGAATAACAGATAGATATGGGAGGGAACACTTATCACACACCATCACTAGCCCTCAGAATTCGAAATTGTGTGGTGGAAGGTTGCTTCAAAATGATTGTCCAGCCAAGTCACATGACACAATACTTGTCATGCCGCAAAGAGGAGAAGGGGAGAGGAGGCAAATGACTCTGACAACAGGGCGGGCACAGAAATTTACACCTAGAAATTTGTGAGATACAGTACTCCGTTAATATTGATTTGCACTGGAAATGATATGAAGTCATATGTTTTTTATTTATATAGTCTTGTGTTTGCAATGTTGAAAATTGGAAACCTGCAGACAGCCAATGGATGAATATTAAACTTCAGTTATGAAAACAAGATTTAAATTTTAACTAGAAAGTGAGTTTTGTATTCAAGGTTTGTTCAGGCAAGCTGTCATATCTGACTCTACTGGTAAAGGTGTCTTCTGAAGGCTCACTGTGTAGTAATGTTAGTATTGTAAGGCAATTTTATTTTAAAACACAAGAGTGCAAAAAATAATGACCGGGGTACGTACTGTACTGTACTTGGAGAAAAATTACTGAATTTCCTGAGATGCAGAAAGTGTGTTGAAGATTTATGTTCAGTATCAGTCCAATATTGTATATGTAGCCATAACTTGGGTAAAGATGAAGGAGAGGGTTATCACCAGAAGGAACTTATGGAATTTCACCAAAATTTCTAAAAATGTCATTTGCATGATACTAAACACGCAAATGGAAACGACAATGCTCAGAACCTGATCTGTCCTTACCTCGCTTCCTTACATGGAGGCTTTGCACCCTGGTCCTCCCGCCATATAAAGTTTAGTCATATTAAGTTGCTAACTGGTGTGCTATGCTTCCCAGGCCCAAAAGAAACTTGGTAGAATTATTGTTTCAGTCATGTTGCAAATTTTTGGACTATAAGTTTTGGAATCGGTAGTTTAGACAATTCTAAAACACTTTTCTTTTCTATGGCGTTTCTGTCAAAAATTTAGTAAATTTATACAAAAGCACCATTCTTTCTTTAGATATTAAAAATATATTTTTCCTGTGGTTTTTTATGAGTTTCAAACGAATTTTATATTCATTTCTGCCGGAAATCACTCATTATTGAGATACATCCCCCCCTCCTTCCCCAACAAGGGAAGATGTTGGGAAATTGGAGTTTTTTGTTGGGTAAATCACAAGCAGGTGATTTCCAGTGGAGAACAAGGCAAAATTCATTCAAAACTCATCAAAAACCATCGGAATTTTTTTTTTAATGCTGAAAGAAACGTAACCCAACTCAACCTACCCCTTTTTCTGTATAAAAAAAAGGGGGTATCCTGACCTAACCTAACCAGGGGGGCCCCATTTGTTCATGCCCCTACATCTTACCTTAATCTGAAGAAGAATCAGGCCAAATGTGTTGTTCTTCCCACAGTGTACACTGATTATTACACTTTGGACAAGTAACGTTGTTCGGTAATACACCGTGTTTTCTAAAAAATTAAATGGCCTCATTATTTTACTGATGAAACTCGGCAATTGACGTAAAATAATCTCTTTCACAAAGTCGGCACAGCTCTTCAACCAGTTCAGCCATATCTGGTACTGAAAATTCAAATCTGAGCTCCCGACACACCCACACATTGTTCATTGGATAAGACAAAAAACTCTTGTCCAATAATAAGTCCCCTCTCGCTATAGCCAATAAGGAACTCCCACACTACCCCCAGCACATGCGCTGTAGACGCTTAAAAAGCCAACACGGAGATAACGGAGCACTGGGTGAGGGGGGTCAGAGCTTCTCCACGAGATGTAAACAACAAATGGCAACACTTGTGATTGACCAAATATAATAATATTGGAAAATTATAATATCTTGGTTATCCGTAATTTCCGGCGGAAATATCAAAGAAGAAAAATATCTTAGAAATGTCTGAACACTAAGATATACTTATTAATAACAGCGAGAGAAAGACCGGTGCTTTACTATAAATTCTCCAGAATTTTTTTTTTTTTTTTAATCGATAAAATTACCAACAATATTACTTAATTAAAGTGGCAGGGGTTTGAAGTAGAGGGAAATTGTGAGGTAAAATACTAAGAAACACTAAATAAACTGACCTAATGTTTCCTTATCTTTAAAATTCTTTAAATTATAAAAAAAGTTTACCTTCATGTTTTCTGTTTTTAGTAGGTAGTGGTATTGATTTCAGTGTTCAAATGAGGACGGACCCATAAACTCTAAAGTTATTTAACATTTTGACAAGTTAGGAAACGTTGGTCAGGTTTTCAAAAGTTTTTGGTGTTATTTTTAGTATTTTACAACACATTTTCCCTCAACTTCAAAGTCCTGGCCACAATCAAGTAATGTTGTTGGTAATTTTATCGGTTAAAATACTCGACAACTATAAATTTCTGACGGAAACGCTATAGAATAAGTGTCTAAATTGTCTAAGCTAAAGTTGTCCATAATGGCCCATAATATTTCTGGGTCCAGTTCCAGGTACATCTTGTCATTTCTAACAACTTTTCTTAGTAACGTTTCCATCGCAATTGATTCGTTTTCGAGAAAATCGCTTTTTATTTGTTAGGGAGTCATCGAATATTTTTTAAGTCCAGTGTTGATGTTCCCTGATGCCTCTTAATAATAATAATAATAATTAACGGTTTATTGAAAGAGCTTGGCAGCCAGAAGGCTGAAAATATACAGTTACATATTTGGGGAATGGGTTACGAATTACAAATAATATACAAGTGACATAAGTGACACATATAAGACATATAGTAACTTAGATGGGGATCAGCTCAAAATACAGTTCATTTCAACATAGTGACAGTGTAGGGAGCAGTGTTTACTGGGAGTGAATACACTGATTTATTACATGTTATTGATAATTTTTACAATGGTTGGGACTGGGCTGTTCTTATAGCGATCAGTTCGTGCACGTATGGGCTGGATGCGGTTGTGGTGTCGAACAGCAATTCTCGGACAGGGGATCTCAGGTGGTAGTAGGAGCCGGTGTCGGGGATGGTGTAGAAGCTTCTTACCAAATTTGCAGATGAGGTCGTGGTGATGGTCAGTGAGAGTCGAAAAGGGTCAGTGTGTTGGCGCTTCTTGATATGTGGAGTAGGAAGGGGAGAGAATAATCTTGCATGCCCTCTTTTGCACTTTTTCTAGGTGTTTTACGTTGTGTGGCATTTAGGAGGAAGACCAGGTGGGGGAGGCATAGGTGAGCTTGGGAAGTATGAATGTTGTGTAACACTGAGGAGCTCGGGTGCAGGAACTCCGAGGGACTTGAGTCGGCGGAGGAGGTGGAGACGGAAACTGGAGGATTTGACAACTTCACTGACGTGTGGTTTCCAATTTAGTTTGTTGTCTATGGTGACGCCGAGGAGCTTCGTGGAATCTACAACCTGGAGTGTGTTCGGACCTAGGGTAATGGAAGGAGGTGGGACAATGTCGGAGGAGAGGTTGATGTGCATAACCATTGTCTTGGTATGGTTGATGGTGAC